ACTAGCGGGAGAACTGAGAGATAAATAAGAGAGCCACTTCAGAGCTCACCAAAATAGAAGGACATAATTCAATATCGATTGAATCCCTGGAGCTGAGATGAAGAGAGTGGATGCTGCCTCTGTGTTATGTCTGCACAAAGAGCCCAGGCCCTCATGAGACATTGATCACCGCGCGCCGCCAAGCCTGCACCTCATTTTGGGCAACGAAACCAAAGGCAGTTTATCTTATTCGCTGTAATTAATTTTGCTGTCAGCTGCATTAGGTTATACTGAAGGCTGATGGCACAGTCTCGATATTTGACAATATTATATTCAGCTAAAGTTCTGAGCGGTAGTGGGTAATAACTTACTCGGTTACGTGCAGGGCTGTAATAAGGATCTTATGGGCCTTGGTGCAAAAATATTTCAAATCAGATTTAAACACTTCTTTTGACTTTGAAATCTGAATAAACAAGTATGTATTCGTGATTATAAACAAAGATATGTTTCAAAAACAAACTAGATAGGGAAAAAGTATTTACCTTGGTACTTTTTTTGCAATGCTGTTGTTGACAGTTACAACTCTGAGACATCTACATTAAGAACTAATCAGGTTTTTGCAGCATTGTGGTTAAATTTTAGCCCCTTTCATCTTGACAAACCATCTTCAACACCTCAAGGTTGCAAAGGTCACTCTGTTGGACAATCCTCCATAACTTACCAATAGGATTGAAGTTAGGAGAGGGGCTACTTTGAATGTATGTTTGGGGTCATTGTCTTCTCCCTAGACTCGTTTTCTTGTCCAGTGAGATTAATATGTCCCAGTGTATCACTCTATTCATGTTTTCTTTGAGGGTGTGTAATGTTCCAGTACAGTGTGTGAAGTACTCCCTGGTATTGCAGGGGTCCTGTGCTGACTGGTTACTCCAGTGTTGGCAATTCACTACAGTGCCACCCTGAGGTAAACCGGTGCTGCCTCACTGGTTGATTAACAATATCAAAGTCAGAAGCTTCCCATTTTTTAGGTAAAGCAGGCTAAACAATGACCTTTCCCTGAATTTGTATTGTTTCCTAAAGACAGCATAAGGTCATAACAACACCACCCCCCTGAATTTTGATTTTGAAACATTCAGTGGGCTCAAGAGGTTAACTTGAGGGTCACGGACCCCCAGGACCCCCTGTATTTCGCACCTTGCCCCAGTCCCGTCTGCAGAGAGGCAGGCCTATATCATGATGCTCCCACCTTCATGCTTCACTGTGGGTTGTTTATACATACAACCTTTCTTTCTACAAATACAATAAGCCAAATTTTTGCCAATAAGTTCTATTTTTGTTTCGTCTGACCAGAGTACATTGTTCCAAAAGAATGATTTTTTTCTTTTTTAGAGTTTTGGAATTAATATGATTGCAGTTCATTTTTTATTGTCCCTTGTTGCTGTGAATAACACAATGACAATGTAATGGCATAAACAAATTGCATAAGATAGCAATACAAAGATTCCAACAAAGATGTTAGGGGGCCATAGTGCCAGTGCCTTTACCCCATCTGCACTTGGGACCTGCCACCTGACCCAAAGGGTCCTGACCAAATATTGGGTTTTGGTTGTACAACACTGGGCTAAGGATAGGTTTGTTTTATAAGAAGGTTTTTTATTGTAGTATGTTTTTATTTACTCATGTAATTGTTTTTGTTTACTTATGTGTTTCTAAATGTATTTAATATGCCTACATATATTTTGCAAACTGTTATGCATTTTCTCTCTTGCATTCTCTCTCTCGCTGATTACATCATTAAAAAAACACCCTACCGCCATTGTGATAAGAAAGCAGTAACTCTGACCTCTATGCTGCGCTGCCAGTAATTATATCATCTGTTACATGTATTTAAAGCTGCACTATGTAGATTTAGGGGTTTGGAGACCTCTTTTGTGGAAATGTGTAATTGCATGCTATGTACAAAAGACCGTTTTGTGTCATGGGTTATACTTGGGACCCCTTCCCTGAGCAGATGAATCTAATCATTGCGAGCTTGGTGTAGGTCGTATCTTCCAAGGATGTGAGTGAATGATTGTCATCATATCTTCATCAGTGTGATGTTGATTTACATTTGAGACCTAAACATTGAGCCGTGCCTCCTTTTTGAGCTTGTGCGTGTGACGTTAATATGTAAAGACGTTAGAAAGTCTTAGGGTGATTTGCAGTAGTGCATGGACACCATATTCAAGCGTATTTAATTTTAGCAAAATTGGATAAAGTAGCATTACTGAGTCAAAAAAATTGCACATAATGCTTTTTAAATTTAAATCAAATCATTGATGGATCTGGCTAATACTTTCACATCTCCTCAAGTGCAGTGTGTTTATCCTTTGTAATCCTTTGACTCAGTTCAGCTGTAGTTATTCATATTCACTTACTGCTTCTCTTCTGGGGTTTAATTTCATTCTTTTGTGTTGGTTCAGCTCCTGGACGGCTTTGCTGTTGCTCACAGCTCTCACTTTAGAGCTTCAGCATTTTATTTTAGACTAAAAAGAAAAAGAATAGTGCCTAAACTTCAGCCCCTATTCTGATAGATGCTGAGTGCTGAAGAAGTTTCTATAGGCAACATATTCTGTGGGGAATCGAAGTTTTTTACTTTATTATTTTTTTCACTCAGGTTGGTTTTTGCTGAGCTATTTTTTATTCAACTTGAGTCATTATTTCATTGAAGTGAGAGTGGGTTTAGGCTGTTCTACCCACCACAGGCTCTGTGACAGAATATATTCTCATATACTACCATAAGAATGCCATACAAGCTAAATAGAAAACCCGTTGGTGGAATTGTGGGCTTGACTGAGGGGGACTGGAATAAAACAGACTTAGCTAGCATGTCTCACATGTCCGACTACAGTCTAAGCCCAGCTACATGTCTAAATGTTGGCCGTCTGTTAGTTAAATTGGCATTATGATGCTTTCAAGCTGTCAGTATGAATGTCAGAGCTGTCAGAGTGCTGTGTGAGAACAGGGTGCTGCAGTCTAGTCAGTCTTTTTCTTGTTTTAATGAGAAAAATAGGCTGCACTCAGTAGTCTATAAGATACATACAGTCTATATGCTGATCTATACTCCTTATATGCAATGGGCCCCTGACATTAAGACTTAATATCATGGCAGTACCACGTCTGCTTGTTTATAAATGAGGATTGCTGGTGTGATGTGACGATGTGAGACGCGGTCACACGTTTAGCTCATGTAAATATGGCGGTAGCAATTTTAAATACACCACAGTCCCACACTGTCTCTGACAGTAATTTTCCCAGTAAGAAGCTGATGTGGATCAAATTACATTTTCTACAATGTTTCCACATGTTTGGTCACACATGCAACAAATCACACACTCAGCTGATTACTTAATATATTCAAATGACATGTTTTGGTCTGTTGGGATGGAACAGCATGACAAACCTTCTAACTTCTGCTGTAGCAGGACAGAAGAGAAAAAAAGACTGAAGCAGACTTCAGATCAGCAGGTTTAATTGGCACTGAATTTAAAACGGCCTCTTCTTCCTGCATGAAATTCAGGAGTTCAGGAATCCACCTCCTGAGTGTGGAAAGCATGTTCAGCTTGTTATCCAAATCAGTGGAGAGGAGAATTTGACATGTTCAGATTCTAATTACATTTTAAATTGATTTTATTGTAGTAGCTTTTAGCACTATTTTCAATTCAATTTACATATGTGAATATGACTTATTTACTTGTAAAAATTCATGTTTTGCAAGTAAAACTGCATTTTTACTAGTTGGTATTTAATATTTCATTTTCACATGTGCACATGAAGTTCCTGATATCAAAAATTTCATATAACTAGGTGGATTTTAGTTTTCACATGTGTAAACTGAATTCCTGAGATCAAGAAAAAAGGAAACAAAAGCTGAAACAGCTGCCAATTAGAATTGACTTTAAGATGTTATAATTTGACTTAATAATTCGACTATGAGGTTTATGTATGTATATATATATATATATATATATATATATATATATATATATATATATATATAAACCTCATAGTCACTGCCACAGTGGGAATATCTTTTATTTGCTGTGCTGCACTTTTCAAAATGTGAAAAACAGGTTTAAAATGACGAAATTTAATTTTAACTGCTCATCTTAAAGGGCTCATATCATGGAAAACCGAATTTTCCTTACTTTTTTTTAAATTAAAGTGGATTTCAATTCTCATATGCTGCACATTTTGCATAGTACTGTGTGAAGTGGTGTAGTCTCACAGTCCATATACGGAAACTTAACTACAAGGACAGCCTGTTTTGATTTTACACTTTGTGTGATGTCACAAAAGCCAATGCATTTGTATGTATGAATATAAAGAATATATATATATATTGCATATATAAATGTAAATAATATGTACATTGTATATTACTTCTCCATATAGTCTTCATGTTGCTTGTATACTGTGTATACTGTGCATGTTGTATATTGTCTGTTGTATTATTGTTACATTGTTGTATTATTTGTACATTGTTTACAATAAATCTGATTCTAAATTTTGATTCTGATATATCCGCCTATTCAGCCTACAGCAGTTTAGCTTACCCAATTACGCTGAAGTTATAGTTAAAGTTGTGTTTCAGCTTGGACTGCTTTTTGAATGAGGCACAATACAGAGCAGCCAATCAGAACAGGGCTCATTTACAATGCAGAAAAACAACCAGTTCTTAATGGCCATTTTAACTGGAAATTAACTGGAAAACACATGAAGGGTGGTCACTGACTTTTTCACTGTACAGAAATGTGTTTTATATCATTAAAAAAACATTTTGAATGGTAGTAAGTTATTAAATAAGCGACTGATTAAGTGACCCTTGTTAGTCCCACTGTCAGGGGGCAGTGAGCACACTTGCCCAGAGCAGCGGGTAGCCCTATCCACAGCGCCCGGGGAGCAGTTGGGATTTAGGTGCCTTTATTAAAGCTTTCAGAAATTTATGTGTGTTAATTCAGACCTTTCTCTCTAACTCCCTCTAGAAGGCAGTCCAGTGCCTCTATCCCCAGTCCAGTCTGGCTCAAGCTCTGGCCCGGCCGAGGCCCAGTCTACCTCAGCAGCGCCTGCAGCAGGTGGGGAGGAGAGTCCCTGCCTGACGCCGGGAGCCCCCCAGTCCACAGAGCAGGAGGCGGAGCCTGAGCCTGAAACGGAAAAGGGAGAGACGGAGGAGGAGAAAGCCCTGCGCCTCCTCTACTGCTCCCTCTGCAAGGTGGCCGTCAACTCACCATCCCAGCTGGAAGCACACAACAGCGGTGAGAGCTCATACACTTCACTCAGTGGACACTGCTGAAGGCCGTTGTGTTAAGACAGTGGTCACCAACACTTTTCTTATCTCCAAGCAGAGTTTAACAAAAATCCAGAGTTCTCCAAAACCCAGAAAATCTTGGTCAGCTGTTAAAACACTCTGAAAAAAACCTCAGATTAGATGGAGCAAGTGTGGCTAATCTGCAGGGATCTAACGTAAAATGTGATTCAATATCTCTTTTTGATTTTGTTGACTCTGACTCTTCCTCAGTTGACTCGCAGTTTATCTCTGACTCGCCATTGACTGACTGTCGACTCGACTCGGATTCTCCCTTAAGTAACTAATGACTCAACTCATGACTCATCCTTAACTGACAAATACCTCTGCTCAGTTTCTCCCTTAAGTAACTAGTGACTTGACTCAGACTAGCCCTTATCTGACTGACAACCCTACTCTGATTTTATCTTAAGTGACTAGTGACTCAACTCAGACTCGTCCTTAACTGACTAACAACTCTACTCAGTTTCTCCCTTAAGTGACTTGGTGACTTGACTCAGGCTTGCCCTTTACTGATTAGCCACTCTACTTGGACTCTACCTTAAGTGACTAGTGACTCAGCTCAGACTCGCCCTTAACTGACAAGCGACTCGACTTAGACTAACCCTTAACTAACTAACAACTCTACATGGATTCTCCTTTACGTGACTAATGACTTGACTCAGGCTTGCCCTTAAATGTCTAGCCACTCGAATAAGACTCTTCTTTATCTGACTCTCAACTCCACTCGGACTCGCCCCTAACTGACTAGCGATTCGATACAGACTCTCCCTTAACTGACTCGCTTTTCTACTTGGACTTGTCCCTTAACTGACTAGCAACTCTACTCAGATTCTCCCTTAACTGACTAGCGACTCGATGTGGACTCTCCCTTAACTAACTCGTGTTTTACTTGGACTCTCCCTTAACTGAATCTGTGTCTATTTTCACTGATGCTGTAAATAATAATAGCGTATTAAGCACTGAATGTCATACTCAATTTAGCCAAAACTGTCTTGAGTTCTAGAATTAAGAATCAAGAAAATGTAATGTGTGGAATCTTTGGAATCAGTTCCATAAATTCTCATGGCTTGAATTTGGAAACAGTGTCGACGCCTAAGCTTTTGGAATCAAACAGCCCTACTTTCATCCATGTCTCCTCCGTTCTACGCTCTGTACATTCGGCTGGATTTCTGGGTTGTTGGAGAGGTTTATATCTGGTTTGTGTGATTGGACAGGTGCACTATAGAGGCAGCGTGTCTAAGCCATTCACGGTGTCATTTGGTCTCCCCCTGGTCCTCTATCACTGTCTCCCTTTCTCTCCCACTCTGTTTCCAAATCAACAGCACAGCCTACAGATAAAGGGCCCTGCTGGGAATTCCCACAGTTGTTCTGATAGCCATGATGGCCCTGTTGACACTGAAACAACATTATTTCTTTTTCCATCAAATTGTGGTCCTCAAATTGTAGTTTTTCATTTTCATTCAAAATTTTGCACCCTTGCTTATTAAGACTGGAAATGAACTTTGAATGAAAGTAGATATCCAGGAGGCAGATTGGTGACTGCTGTGTTCGGTCATGACTAAGGGAACAACTGATGAACTGCAATGAAGAAAATTGCCATTTTGGAAGAGATGGAATTTTATTTACTTTAGAGCAGGGGGTCTCAAACTACCGGCCTGCCAAACACAACACATCCAGGCTCATATGGCCTATCACATATAGACTCACATATGGTCCACAAACCATTTTTTATTTTTCTGCATCTAAATATTCCAATCTAACAGGTTGATTTGCTTCACTTACCCAACATAAGTTATACAAAATCAGCTTGGGCTGATGATAATAATGTTAAAAGCGAAAATACAGCGTTGCCTTCAAGTGGAACTATTCCAACAAAAACCTGGCAGCATAAACACTGTAAACTGAGCAGGCATGACTGTAATTTAGCTATAACTAACTTAGCTATTATTTAACTTAGACTGATAGTTAGTTACATCTGCCTTTGTGGATTCATTCATGATATAGCAGTGGTAGCATGAATTAAGAAATGAATGGACTTATCAAACGATTTTACTGAGAACGCAGATTTAGCACTTCACTTGCAATAACTTCACTCGCATTTAGCAGGAATGCCAGTGTCTTCACAGTAAGAGTCCTATAGTTCCACTGTTAAATGTGAGTTAACTTGTTTTACCTGAAAAACGAATGTTGTCGTGACAGAAGAATTGCTAATAAACACGTTTATGTGCACTCAATAATCTGATCATAATCGGATTTCTGCAGTTATCTGATTATTCAAATGGTTATGTAAACAGCACACTCTGATTTCTTAGAGTAACGTCTAAAAATCCGATTAAGAAATCCAAAAAACCTAAAAGGAGAGCTGGATTTTAGCTCAGTAATCAGATTTGTCATTTATACTCTTACTCTGATTTCTTTCGGATTTCCCAGTCTGCACATGTGCGAAACAGACCACGGTACTGGAAATAAGCGAGCAGTGTTGCCGTGAGATGCAGCAAAACACTTTTCTAGCGACGCTGAAACCGACCACATTGTTGACGAAATAAAAGATTTAAATATTCTTCATCTTCTAGATGATGTATGTTCATATTTTTAAGTAAAGTGGCGCAATGTTTTTTTTAAAAAAAGCTTGAAGTTTGAGTTTTACAATACGTTTACGTCACATCTTCTTCTGTGAGTTTATTGGCTGAAATCTGATTACTGCCTGACTCATGTAGACTTGGAGTTTTCCAATTATCTGATTATTTAAGTGCATGTAAATGCATTGATCGAATTACTGACAAAATCTGATTTTCTGCAGTTATCGGATTATTAAGTGCATGCAAATGCACTTAAATAAGTGTATATGTTACATAGTAAAAAATAATACCTGGAAAAACAAATATAGCACTTTTTTCCCTGTATTTTTTTTTTAGACCGTCCCCATTGGTAAAGTCAACTTGGCTAGTGGCCACCAGACAATTTGAATATGAGACCCTGCTTTAAAGACATGAAAAGACAGGTTAACTAGGACTAAACTATTTTTTCCTCAAACCTGTGCTGCTTTATAGCTTGAAATCCTGTCATAATGTGTAGTTTAGGCCTCTGTACAAAGCAATGCTGTCTAAAACCACTGACTTACATTTCCTCAGAGTATTCTGCCGCAAAGACAGCACAGTAATTTAAAAAGCCCAGCATAAATCGTATTCAGTGTCAGTACTCTTCAACCTACTTCAGACAGAATTGCTAGAGCAATAAGCTTGATACTCTGTTAAAATAAACAGCTATAATTTGTGCTGAAATAGACGTCATCAGCAGAAGTATTTGACCATAACAAGAACACACAACAGCTGTCTTTGCACATCTTTGCAGTATGAGTCACCAGTGAGATTTCACTCAAAATCACTGCCAAACAGTTGCAGCCGAGCAAAACAACCCTACTGTACGACCTTAAACAACAAAACAGTTGTTGTCCCTATAAGCAAGAATTATTATTCCCAAAACAGAGTGAGGAATGTGATGCAATATCCAACTCTGAATATGCTTCACCACTAATTGTTGGTTATTCAAAAAAGTGGTCAACCAGTCATCATTTACAAATAGTTAAAGATAAAAATAAAACAACAAACGTGTTCTGCACACTGGTGTTTACTATTAGGCCATTAGTATTTGATCATTATCATTATTTTCATTTATATTGTGCCTTTCTCATACTCACGGATGCTTTAAAACACAGACCACGTTAAAAAGGAAGCTATGCAAGACTAGAAAGCCAATAGCATATGCAGCAAAAACACATCAATATGTAATATTGAATGCTGACCAACACGGCAGTCAAAAATCTCCCAATTGAGGTTGAGATCTGGTGAATGATTTACATCATTTTCATGCAAATCAAACCATTCAGGGATCTCTCAGGCCCTGTGGATCCTGGAAGAGGCCACTCCCATCAGGATGGAAATGTTTTATCATGAAAAGTCATTTATCAGAATAACTTTGTATTTATTTGTTCTCTCTAAGGGGACCCAAACCATGCCAGCGAAATGCCCCCACAGCATAACAGAGCCCACGAACCTCTCACTGTAGGGGTCAAACATTCAGGCCTGCACTGTTCACTCAGACATGCACTCTCCCACTTGTGGAAAATATGGAGAAACATGATTCGTCAGACCAGATCAATTCTTCCAAACCTTTGTAGAGCAGTGGTGATGGTTTTTACTCCAGTGACCTCTCAAATGGTCATTTGTCTTTGTAATGGGGGTTTATGCTCTGTAGCCCAGCTATAATATGCCTATCTATGTCATTTTCATTAGCATGTATGTATCTATTGTGTACTAACCCTCTAATAATGCTGTGTGCCCGATGCTTCATTGTGAGGTACAGATGACTGTCAAACTAAAGGAAAAATGAATGAGTGGTGAAAAGTAACAAGTGCAATCAAGAGCGATTTTCCAACTGTTGCTCAGAGACTTCTTGGGCTGGCTCTTTCGGTAACGCTGCATCTCAGCTATGATGCGGCCTGGACTGCGCACTTGAGAGACGCTGTATTGCGGCTACGAGGCTCTCTGGACTGTGGACCTAAACGTCATGACATCGACAGGCCAGGTGTTTGGCTGCATGAGCAGCGCTACATTGCAGCTATGAAGCCTCCAAGGCTGGCTGCCTAAACGTCGTTACATCACAGCTACGTGGATGCCTGGGCCGGCCACTTGGGTGACGCTGCATTGCAGCTACGAGGCTGCCTGAACTGGTGGTGTTCAGCTGCAGGAAAATGCTACCCCTTCGTGGCTAAGGACATTTTCAGCCTTCAAGGCTTCCTGGGCTGGCCTCCTGTGTGATGCACTTTTCCCCGTTCTCTCCTCTTTCCAGGCTGACTAAGTGACTTTGTACCGTGAAATTACCGAAATTCCCTTGCTGGCTGTCGGAACTGTGGAGTTGTGTGTGTCAATGCAGGAGGTGATCAGACTGTCAGCGAGAACAGTCCATCCACAACTACATGGAGAGGGATATTATAGTTGGGCTGCAGAGCATAAACCCTCATTACAAAGACAAATGACCATTTGAGAGGTCACTGGAGTAAAAACCATCAGCACTGCTCTACAGAGATGTGGAAAACAGTGATCTGATCAGATGACTCATCCTTCTCCATATTCTCAACAAGTGGGAGAGTGCATGTGCAGCGTACACCAAGAGAAGAGTGTAGGCCTGAATGCTTGACCCCTACAGTGAGGGGGTCTGGTAGCTCTGTTATGCTGTGGGGGCATTTTGCTGGCATGGTTTGTGTCCATTTATAGTGAACAAATCATACGTAAGTTATTCTGACTGATGACCTTCTATGATGAAGCATCTCTGTCCAGGTGGGAGTGGCCACTTCCAGGATGCACAGGGCATTTGGTCTGTTTAGCTTAGTGTTTGGCAGTGAAACTGCCTTCTGAAACCCTTGACCTGTTTGTGCCACTGCCATATTCATTATTACAATCAGACACTGTCCACAGCGAGTTTAATGTATGTTATTATGACAAGATTTCATCGCAAGTCATTTTGGATCATTTGTATTGGTCTGTTCGTCAAGAAATGAGGGTTTGATGAGACAGCGATGATATATTGGATGACTAGTCTGTGCAAACTTCAACTTCCAACTTACAGAAGCACAGAAGTAGAGACGTGTTTCACTGGTAGCACATTTGTCTTGTCATGTTCCTCAGGCACCAAGCACAAGACCATGCTGGAGGCACGCAGTGGCAACGGTTCCATCAAATCCTTCCCCAGGCCAGGAGTGAAGAATAAGCTGACAATGCCCACAGGCTCAACCACAGGCCTCCAGAACAAAACGTTCCACTGTGAGACATGTGACGTGCACGTGAACTCAGAGACGCAGCTCAAACAGGTCAGAAGCTAAATGGATGCTGGAAAGCAGTCTTGCACCTAGGACTGCTGGATATGTGAAAATTTGAGACATTTGTCAACAGAAAAAAGAGGCTTCATTTATTGTTTTTTTATGAAGCTTTAAGATGGCCCAATAATTCTGTTTAATTTCCCACTCTGCATTTCCTTTCAGCATATCAGCAGCCGGCGTCATAAGGATAGAGCAGCTGGAAAACCCGCCAAACCCAAATACAGCCCCTACACCAAGACTCAAAGAGGACAGACCAAACAGCAAACGGTGGGTACTTGAAAACACAAAACAGCATCATAACTTAGCATGCATGAAGTGAAGGGAAAGGACATGGAAGGGCAAATGTTCTTTACCTCACCAGCGAGATGTCAATTTTGCATACTTTTGTATATTTTTGTAATGATCTGTGTCATTCGTTGCTGAGTGTTTTCCATTTTTGGCGATACAGTACAGTATACCTCTAGAACTTCAAAAACGTATATATTTCTGTAACACACAACAGTTCTGATTTAGCAGATCAAACATATTTGATTATTCCAAGAGGTTGCAACATTAGTAACTAGTATTTCATACAAAGTACATTGTGAGCTTAGCCTATTATGTAACTAAGGCCCAATCCCATTTCTTATTTTTACCCCTACCCCTTGTTTTTGAGTGACACCTTCCCTCTTGGAACTGAGTTACAAGGTATAGTGGTTGAAATCTTTTTCTACAAACGCCTGGGAATGCTGGTGGATCGGTTTGTGGTATGTAGGATAGACTGCAATCAAGTTTTGTTGTAGTTAGCCTAGCAACACAACATACTAGCTAGCATGTACGACGCTAGTGACTTTGGATTCTGTTAAAGTTTGAGGAACCCTTTTGTGGTACACACATAATGTATTTATTGATTTGTGTGTTGATTTCTTATAACCCTCTGTTTGGAGTTTGTCTCTGAAAAACCTCCGTTTGGAGGGCCATGTAGCCCTAACACTTCGCCCTACCCCTCTATCCCAACAAGAATTGGGACACCCTACCCCTACACCAAAACAGAAGGTTAGGGCTAAGTGGCAGAGGGACTAATTCACTCAAATACTCACTCATTCACCTTTAGCAGTCTAATAATGCTCCAGAAGGGGGCACTAACAGCACTCAAGTAGCTTTTGCTACTTCAAAAAGGCTGTTACACACCGAACGTGACGCCAAAAAATTACAGGAAAAAGGTTCATTTTGCCAAATTGTCCGCACCATGAAATAAAGATGGGCAGAACATCTGTGACAATGTCCTTTACTTCTCACAAAATGGGCGAACTGCTTTCCACTTTGGAAAAGCGAAAGAAGAGCAGGGCATTTCTCCATCTCACTTCAGGAGCTAAAACTTCATGAACTCTTTCGCACAGAGCGCATACCTGCGTAAGTCTTGCATAGTTCTTCAAGTGCAAATAAGATCTCATTTGCTCCTCACAGAATGGGCAAACTGTGACAGTGTGCAGGATGCTTTCCACTTTGGAAAAAAGAAAAGAGAGTTTCTCCATTTCATTTTAGGCGCTAAAGCGTTCACTCAAAGATCGGATCTCCATAACTCAGTCTGCGCTGATTTTGGAGATGCAGACGAAGCACAAACGGGCAGAATGACTTTAAGTGCAATGAGATCTCCTTCATTCCTCACAGATCAAGTAAACAATGACACTGGGCTGCTGTCCATTATGGAAAGGTGAATGTAGCATGAATATCTTCATCGCTTCATTCCGAAGCTGCTTCCACACAGGCTATAATTTAGTTCGTAGTACAGTTTGTAGCTCAGTTTGAGCTGCTTTTGGAGCATCTGATCCCTTTAGCCTTTGTGTACAAGTTGTATTTGCTAGACCACAGCTGCTCCGTCAGCTTGGCTACCGGGATTGGTCAGGGTGTTTTTGTCGCTGGCAAAAGTTTGCAAAAATCTAACAAATGGCGAATTAATTAATGCCACATTTTTGCCATCTGAAAAATCATGTTTGGTGTGGAAGATGTGTGCTTGAATTAATTTACTGTAGTCAGATTAAATCAAATGAATAAATCGCATTAATAAATCACATTGTGTGTGACAGCCTTAACAGTGGTGCTTTGCATCAACACATCGTTGTTTAGATATTCTAGAACTCTGTTATATAACAAAGCAGAAAAAAACAGTGGCAGAACAGCTGTCATGTTGACATTAGCTGGCCAAGTAAGCTAACTGGTCACAGTAAATAGCCCAAGAAACATTATTCACTGACCTTAGCGAAACTTCTAAAAGTAAAACCAACCTTCTCAAAAAGTAAATCAGGTTAATCTCTCTCACCATAGTCATTATCCTGTTTTATTTGGCTATGATGTGTCAAATGATATCAGTCAGTTTAAATAATATCATCTTTACCTGGTACACTATTGCCATCTTCATTTGCTGTTTCCAGTAAGTTTCTAGCAGTTAAATTTGCATGGAGGTTTTACTATGTAAAGCCAGGAGTATGTTAAAGTGTGGAAAAACAATATATAATGTTGGTGTGCCCCAGGGCTCAGTCCTGGGATCTTTTTTGTTTTCTCTTTTCTGTTTGTTTATCCCCATTGGTTTTTGCTCACATATGAAGCCAAAGCAAAAAAGCAAGCTTTAGACTGAGTTACTGTATGTCATCTCTCAGCAGGTGAAACTTCCTCTGGGTAAGGACCTGTGCCAGCCGCTGACAGCTACGATAGTGCCCTCCCACCTGGCAGCTGTCGCAGCAGCAGCCGCTGCTGTAGGCCCTGCTTTCCCGCTGCGTGCCAGCCATAATCCCTCTGTCTTTCAGACTCAGTCCCTCCCTGCGGCCCTTCTGCGTCCCGCCCCCGGGCCTATTAGGACCTCCCATGCACCGGTACTGTTTGCTCCCTACTGACCTCTGACCTGTGACCTCCGATAAGTCTGATGCACCGTCTCAGCCTTTGCGGTAATGTGGTCCAGTCGTAACATGGATCACTGCCTTTTTCTCCATCCCCACCCAGTGTCACACAAGACTGGACATGATGTATGATACTGTACCGCAATAATTAAAGAGACAAACCAGGTAACTATGCATTGTCATCACCACGTGACACACTGACTCTATAAATGTATTTAGGGATATATTGTTTTTTCTGTTTATTTTTTTGATATAGTGTCTTGTTGCTTCTATGAAAAAGGGATTTTTTTCTGTATGAAAATAAAGAGGCTGAAAATAGTCTGGGGTAAAATAAGTTCTACTGCTCTGCTGGTTGCACTTTAAGCCTCTCCTTCTGTGGATGTCTTCAGTGCTTTAGATGGCTAGAACGTGTCTTATTCCTTCCTGTATATGGTCTTTGTTTTTATATGTGTGCGTGTGCGTGTTGATGTAGTGTGAATGGAAAATGAGAATAAAAAAGTGGGTCTTCTCCAAAGTGAAATACTGCTGATATATTTCAAAGCTAGGTGCAAAAGAACAGCAGGATACCTTGGATACATGCTAAGCAGATACATGTGTGTGTGTGTGTGTGTGTGTGTGTGTGTGTGTGTGTGTGTGTGTGTTTGTGTGCAAAAAAGTGATGCATTTTACTTGACTCATGAGAGTACAGTGTTTCACATGAAAAAACAGTGGCAAACTGTGAGTATCAGAGCTAGACCTTCATTTTGGGCCATAAATAGCAAAACACTGTTTCTGCTAGTTCATTTAGGGGAATTTGAATGTTATGTTAATGATTTTTTTGGGCCATTCTAGATTCATTTGAAGCTTGTGAAAGATATTCGATTTGCTTTTTTGAAGCCTGTAACAGATATTAACATTTACCTTGAAACAGTTTTACAGAGACTTTTTCAGAAAACAGTCCTAGCATAAAGCTGCTGCCACTGTTTTCCATTTCTAAAAACTGAAATCTGGTTAAGCTACAACTTGTATTTGCAGTCAGTGATGTATCTAGAACTTCCAGAAGGCCTAGGTTGACATTTTTTCTCACAGAATTGGTCATATTGTAAATCAAAACATGATTGGTTGATTCAATAAATCCTTTGTTTCATCTAATCCTTCAGTTAATCTAATGTTTATGCGCAGTTGACATCACCTCATGAAACTGAGGCTGGTCCAGACGATTAGTGAGAAAAAAAAAAAAAAATCTCAATATTTGGTGCAGTTAGCAAGCTAGTAACCCAGTAAAACACAAAAGTGAACACAATGATATCAGATCACTATACACTATATACTATACTGCAGCACACTGATCCGTAACAAAAAACTGATAGCTTGTGTGGTTGTGACTTGTGTGCAGCAGTGATTAGCCAAAAAGTTAACATTGCAGTTGCAAGCTGGCAAACTCATCTACAAAGAGTAAAACCACAAAAGTTAAGATAATAATACTGTCTCGTGTCTATCTGTGTATCATACAGTGTTTCATGTGTTTATTTGTAGCAAGTGGAGAAAAAATTTTAAAAGATTTGAGCTTAAACTCTGGTTAAATTAGCATTTAATGTATTTTGGATCTTCAGTGCTGCTATATGAAGCCCTGCCCCAGCCATGGTCAACACAGCCAAAGTGCTAACTTTGTCAAAGTTCATAAAAGTTGATCTTGATGCAAATTTCACACGTGAAATTTATTCGCTCCAAAGATCTGATCTAAGATCTTCTGTTAGATCAAAACAGTTTTGTGCATAGACATTGAAATTAATCTAATTTCGCCTGCAAAATGTGACTGATAGATACAATCCTGATTGGACCATTTTTTCATTAGCTATTTCAACATTTCAACCCTTTTGTTTGAAATAAGAGTATTACTGCAGTACAGAACCTGTAGAAATTAAATACAACAGGCATTACAGTTCTATTAAATATGAATGAACTGACCTGTTCTGACGGCCCTGAGGGTTCCCCACCAAGGGAAGTGTATATTACATCAACACAGTTAATGCTAAATTTTAGTTAAATGAAAGACAGAACAGTGCTGATGTCATATATTTTATTAATGTGGAAACACATTTGAACTGAGTAAATTCAAAACATCACTTTGTCGGTGTGTGTGTGTGTGTGTGTGTGTGGGTATGCGTATGTCCTCCGTTCCCCCTAAAGCTACCCCTGCAAAAGTCTACATGAGTCACGAGGTTGGCGAAGCTTGTCTATCTAGCAATGTGAAAAAAAGGATGAACAATTATGAATAAAGTCTTACTTTACTTTTGTCTAACCTGTTCTTGCCAAAATTATTGCTTTCACTCATTCACTCGCACTTACACTCACGCTATATATGGTTGTTTTGATTATTTCCATGACTGGTGATGGATTGCTAGAAAATAGCCCCATCCATCTTGGTTCATTGTTGGAAGCGTTTCTATTTATTCTGGTGCTTGAAATGTTGCTAGTGAAAAATCAGTCACGAGTAATTAATAAATCTATTCGAACTCTTTTCACCCTACGCTGATAGGTCCAGAGAGAACAATAAACAGGCCAAATCACGTACTGTGGCCTCCATCACCCCGACAACTTTGGTTCAAAACACGGCCCAACTCCGTGTGTCCTCTAAGCACTGCTGTTGCTAACCACTTTCTCTTTCTGAGCCTTCAGTGAGTCATATTTGACAAAAAAGCTAAGTCTCCAGGTGCTGGACAAACTCAGCTGTTCCCTCTGCGGACCTATACTTGAACTCGCTCTCTGCATTGCGTAAAAGCTCCCACTATGACTTATCTGTGCCTGAAAGAGATGGGAAAAATCCCCCTAGAACGCACTCCCTGTTCCGCCACTGTCCAAACCCAACAGAGTCGCTAGTCTGGCTAGCAGATATCAGGAGCTGCTGAATGGTATTGCTAGTGCCGTCCCGCTTCCAGCACTTTATTTCTGCACTAATGGTGGCCAGCGACTGTACGTGGGACGTGCTCGTCTCGACTTGCTGTTCCAGAAAGCTGTCAGCGTGCGCACACACACGTATAAACGCAGACACACAAAGACACACGTTGCTGGTTGCGTCCTAGCCAGTGGAGGAAGCAACGCTGCAGTTAAAGCAAATCGAGTATGACGCTCTAACCTCAGGCTTTTGAAAATACACTTTAAAGTAATGGTTCAGTCATCAATGCTAATGTTGCTAACGCTGTATAAAAAGGGAACAGTCACAGATTAGCATTATTCAGTTCAATTATGCTAATCGGTGCTACTAGCTTCCATGCATTGTTGGTAACATTAGCATGTATGCTGGAGCTATTGCTTAAAAAGGGCCCATATTCTATATTTCTCCTATTTTTTCTTCTTCCCCCTGAGGTCCACTTATGACATTTGCATAGATTTATGCTCCAAAACCGTCTTAATTCATTTTTACATGACCACTTTCCAACTTCATCCCTTAAATAGGCTGTTTTTGCTATTGTGCCTTTTAGACGTATATGTAAATAAGCTCTGTCCTGATTGGCTGCCCAGTATTGTGCCTCATGCAAAAAGCAGCATGCATGCTGTATAGCGTGGGTGGAGCTAAACTGCTGTAGGCCGAATAGGCGGATATATTTCAAAGTAAAACTGCATTGAGCATGAAGCTACCAAACTGCTTTGTATGTGGTTACAACAGTGTATAACTATTTGACTTGATCTATGCCTACTTTCATAAAAGCACTGACTTTTTCACATTTTTGTCCAATAAAATAGTTTGATGTAGTATGTAAACACTGTTAAAGTTAACATTCACTTCACAGGCACAATACAGGGCAGCTAATCAGAAGTGAGGTCACTCTTAAAGGCACGGTAACAAAAACATCCTGCTTAATTCTAAGGGACGAGAGAAGTTGGAAAAAGGTCATGTAAAAATAATTGTTTACACATAATGTATAATGTATGTACATTCATGTGACATTCTATGTTGAGACGTTTGTTCCCGACTTTCCACTTATTTTACTGGTAACGTGGCAAGTTTTTTTGTACACCAAATGAAGATTGTAAAAACTTCTTTCAACATTCAATTAATAAAATATCTCCTAATGTTAGAGAGAAAAAAATCTGAATAGTTAAATGTTTGAGATGTAAACAAAGTCATTCAGAGTGGTTCAATGCAAAATGCTCCATTCTAGAGAAGCAGAGCCAGAATTGTTCACAGTGGTTGTGATAGAAACCAGACGTCTGAAGAGTTTAATGCCTCTAAAAGCTCCCTCACAGAAAGTTATCACATAAAAAGATTATGAATACACCACCTGATGCTGAGACATTGTTTTGTGATAGACGTTCAGTGTGTTTACATGCACTCAATAATCTGATTATTCAATCGTAGTCTGCTTATCCAGATGTTCATGTAAACAACATATTCTGATTTCTTAGATCAGAGCAAGGTCTAGAAATCTGATTAAGAAATCTGACAAAGCTGGATTTTAGCTCAGTAATCAGATTTCTCAGTGCATGTAAACTCTTACTCTGATTTCTTTCGGATTTCTCAGTCTGCACATGTGCGAAAGCAGACTGTGATACCGGAAATAAGCGAGCAGCATTGCCACAAGATGACAACAAAACACTTTTGGAGCGACGCTGAAAGCGACAACATGCTTGGCGAAATGAAGGATTTAAATATTCTTCATCTTCTAGATGATGTATGTTCATATTTTCAGGTAAAGCAGCACAATGTTTTTAGAAAAAAGCTGCAACAAGAAGTTTGAGTTTTACAATACGTCACGTCTTCTTCTGTGAGTTTATTGGCTGGTAGCGAAGCAGAAATCAGAAATTTTTGCTTGGCTTATGTAGACCCGGAGTTTCCCATTATCTGATTACTCAAGTGCATGTAAACACGTTGATCAGATTACTTAAAAATCTGATTTTCTGCAGTTATCATGTTAGCATGTAAACGCACTCATTGGTTTAAGATGATGATTGAAAATGTATTTTTTAATTTTTTTGTATTTATGGTGGAGAGGTACATGGATGGTGCTGTCAGTATAGTCCTCAAAGACAACTTTTCTGATTTATTTGTTTGTTTTACCATTAACAACATTATATATAAAACATATCGATTTACTGGTCAATTTGGATTGTAATTAAAATGATTATATTTGTGTTGTAGACATCATGGTTCCTATCACCACAACTGTAAAGAAATCTCAAAGTTGAAAGTCAGTAAGTTTCTCCACACTGAACCATTTCACATCAAACCACTCTGAATGACTGTTTACATCAAATTTGGTGGAATTCCCCTTTAAACACAAAAGTCACATTAGAAATATAGTAGTGTGTCGTATGAAAGTTTAGAATCAGAATTTCTCCACTTGTGTCAACAACCTACGAATGAGAAATAGGGAATATCAAATGGCCTCTAAGGCTTGATGGGTTTCCACTCATGTCTCCACTCAGTGGCTATTTCAGCTCACTGTCTTTCAAAGTGTGTTCCCGGTATGTATTTTTCTCCTTCTTCCTCCCCGAACACAGCACATTCGCACCACTTGAAACTCTGCCCTTCTCTTCAAGTGCCTCAGGGAGGATGTGAAGAAAACTAATGGATCTAGAGGGCCGCCCAAATCCCCCAGAGACGGATGGGCAAATTCAAACGCTTCAGTTGCCGGAGTGCTGCTTTGATTCCCGATCAAGACAAATGTAGCAATTAGCATTCCAGTCCAGGAGGATTTAGATCTCTTTATTCCGGCAGATTCTGTACTGTACCGAGTGTCTCGCAGCAGCGATACCCTCACCATGCATCATGCTAATCCCCCGCAGCACGGCAGAGGAATTCCATGGATCATGTTGACAGAGTTTTCATCAGGGGTCTAAGATTTTAATCAGGATTTGAAATATCGGCCCGCTCTTAATGACTGTCGTTATCCATTAAAGTGCCATACCTGACATGCCCAAAGACAATTATGAGGCCTAATACATGCACCGAAGTTTACTTTTAAGAAAGAAAAATAGAGATGATCTAGGCCGCCGACTCGGAGGGGCCGTTTACGTCTGACAGGAATTGACTGCATGCTCGGTGGAAGGTAATTAAATATCTGCGTGAAAAGATTTCATTTCAGGTTGACTTGGAGGTAATGTAGCATGCATTCACCAAACTACAGAGTGGTTTAAATCAAGGGAGTTTTTGCTGTGAGCAGAACTCCCATATCAATTACCCATAAAAGCAAGCCTGGGTGGGAATTAATTTGAACTAGTTTGGGGTCTGCCCCTTCTGTACCGAACATTTATTCTTTTACACCTGTTGAAATTTGTTCTCATAGCAATCTGTACGAGCTGGATGTTCTGTTATCTATCACCTCTTTTACACTAAAGACAGTTCTGAGCGCGGAGGGTAACAGTTCCAGTGGCTTTTCCACACTGACATGGTTCAACACGGAGCCCTTAAAACCGGGCTCAGCACAGTTTTTCCAGCATGGTTAGCTAACCGTACTCGGTGCCACAGAACCATTATGTGGGACTGTCAATGTTTATGTCGATATTGTGCCACTTGTATTATTTAAAAGCCAAAAGCAATATAATAAGTTCAGTTCACTCACACAGATGCCAAATAAATGAAAGCAGTGCATGATTTTAAATCCACCACTCAATAAATATAAAAATTTTAGTCTAACTAACACACCATCTAA